TTCTCTGTAATTGATATTATCAGTGCTCTCAAAGTTCATTGTATAGAAATGAAATTCTAAACAGTGATTTTGTGGTGTTTCTGGCTTTTATTTTAAAACGCTCCTGTTGTTCAATGATGCAGGCAGTTTATGGTCAGATCCAGAAGAAAACTATGGGTGTATATGTGTGTATGTATATATATATACACTGTACAAAACAGCACATTTGCCATGTTTCTCAATACATTCATGGAAAATTGACTCAAAATATCTCCAGTTATTTTTGCTTCATGTCAATGCAAAGATAGGATCTGAAAATAGAAAAACAGTATACAAATGTAGGTTAATATTTACATTTTGATTATCATCCAAAATGCTATACAAACAGAAAACAAAACTGTAGGAGGAAATTCAGTCAACTTTTCACTTAAGACCTCAGAAGAGATCTTCACACTTTGATACAGCAGGGTTTACAGGAACTACTTTCCTATCATGGTGGGATAGCAAAGTTTCCCATTTCTGAAAGTGCATCGCTTTGAGATGCAGTAAGTAATAAAACATATTTTGAAATTCACCCCAACACTTGAAACTGTTTCACAATTCTATTGTATTTTAAATAGTTTTGTGTTATGACACTTTATATCAGATATAAAGGAATTGAATATAAAAATTACATTGGTTGATTGCAAGATTTTTGGGGAAATTTCTTTCTTTGTTTTGCTGTCTTTGAATTTGTCATCTTTAAGTTAAAGGTTGCAACATTCATGCAGTGTTCTTAAGAGAAGATCCCTGGTATAGCACATTCCTTTCAATTGTTTCCAGGCTGTGTTTTTTTTTTTTTTTTTTTGTTTACTGATTTAATTCCTGGAACTTCTAAAATATGAGCCACATCTACCAAGTGGGATTGTTGGATTGTTTAAGTATTGCCTCAATTCTTTAGATACTGGTTCCTGGAGGAGCTGCCAAGAAAAGTTTTTTTTTTTCATGTGCCATAGTAAAGTACCAATACACCAGTTTGTATATTGATAGTAACTTCAGATGTGATGAGTCTTCTGATGGCCCTCATCGTTTGTGCCATCCATTTACCCATAAAAGAAAATTGCATGACTTTGATAGTAATTGCCAAAAGCTTTGCTTCTTAACTATATGAAAATCTTAGCAAGCACAGATACAAACAGAAAGAAACTTAGTCCTTATGCCCAGTTATTGAGAAACTTTGCCCTTTGGAATCAGATCAGTTGAGTTGGGTTTTATGGTTAGTAGCTCACTTTTGATCCAGAAGAGGATCACAAGGTTTGTGACCCTGTACTGATAAACACACTAGGTGATGTGATAAGGGGTTGTTATGGCAGAATGTGTCTATTACTGCTTACCAGGCTTGTACAGCATTGGGCATTTTAATAATTACAGCTTAGCCTTGCAGGTAATAATGACAATGTTGATAGAAATATCAACATAAAATTCCAGAAGCAGATTGTGTGATGTAGTTTAAAAAGCGTGCGTGTGATAGGAAGAAACTGAGGCTTCCTGAGGAACTTGCTGAATTAGTTCTGGCAGACTAAACACAATCTATGGGTCTGTGGATTGAAAACTCCATTTAAGCTTTGCAAGCCTTTAATTAGCAAAGCTGTACCTTTCTTCTGTAAAAATGGAGGGAATGGAAATAACAAGAGACTTTTCCAGCAAGGATAGCCAGTCAGAGGGAGATGTTTATTCATTCATGTTAGAGCCTTGCTCAATAGCTCTTGCGTCTTTCCTTGTGTATGCTGTTCTACAGGTCACTGCTAAAAATAGACACTCCGTGTCCCCAGCTGATAGATCACAAGACACAGCAAGCACAGGAAACCCGAGTGAAATTAGGAGTACCTAAGGTACAGCGAATGGAACAGCCAATTACTCATAAAGTAAGCAAGGCTTTAACACCTGATGTGTTTTATCACTGTGATCAACTACCAAACAGAGCTTCAGCACTACCTGTTTACATAAAAATTGTTGTGCAGAGTTTGGGATGAATCATAAATTTGAATGTGTTGTAAGTTACCTTACCAGGATGGCTGCTCCTGATGCATTTCTACAGAACTGCTATTATCTTGGTCTCTGTTTCTTGGGTCTTATTTTTACAGCAATGGCAAACCAGGGTGTTCCCCTGGTTTCAGCTGCCATGTGGTAGACACATAGAAAGACTTTTATTTCTCTGCTACAAAATCACACTCTGAAGGTAAGAGGAGCCATCAGCCAGTTTGGACTTGGCAGTGATTTTGTTTGATTTTATGCAGGTCTCCAGCAAGTGATCTATGAATGGACTCAGGAATATTTAGCCATTTGTACCAGAACCGATTAAATTAGAAAAATCAGTTTTTAAAGAAAAGTGGGAAATGAAGGCATGCAACACTAAATATGCAGGGTTTTTAGAAGTCTGTAATAATAAAATTAAATGTTTCTTGTCAGAAATTTTCTGCAGGAGAAAACAATTTTAAGAACTGTTTGACTCATTCCTCTCTGTAAAAATGTGAGATTTTATTTTTATATATATATATGTCTTGTAATTATGTCAGGGGATCTTTTTATTTATTTATTTATTTTTTCATATAAAGTATAATTACAACTCTTGTCTTTTGGCTAAGGAATTATGTTGACATGAGCTTCAGAGTCTTGTTCTGCCATCTGAAGGAAGTGAATGTGCAGGAAAGATTTGAAGTAGAAAGCTTTTTGTGAAGCTCATTGTAAAGAATCAACAGGTACAATCTGCCTTCGTGTGAGTGGAATTTATTATGAATTTGTGCTTAAAATGTTTCTGCAATGAGTTTTTTTTTTTTTAATTTTACATTTAGCATAAAATTTTAACTAGCTCAACAAGGTTACAGAGACATCTTCAAAAGGTTCCTGTGTTCATAAAAAGATCTGTCTGTGCTTACTGGCTTTCAACTACTCTGATACCTTCTCCATACCTTTAGTGGTATATATTCTGTACTAATTTATAACTTAATATTGGGCATTTTGAGCAAAATCTTGATCACAGAAAATCCAGTTTTGTGTCTTGCTGGTTGGAATGGGCATTGCATGTAAATGAATAAAGTTCAGAATTTGATTAGCTGTCTGAGTCACTTCATTACTGCAATTCTTTCTGTAAATTCACTTTGTGAAATGTGTTGTCTTGAGATGGAAAAACTAGGCTTCTACACACTGTCTCATCTACAGACAGTAAGGAAGTGTGACTAATTCAGCAGCATCAGCCACAATTAAGTGGTATTTCCCACAAAAGTGCCTCTACTACGTGTCTGGACAGCTGCATCTGTGCAGAATGTGTCATGCATTTCAAATAGCTTTTGGGAAGTCTGACCAGTGGATGACTTGGTCACGTAAAAGAACACATAATAAATAATGAGAATTAATTCAACTAAGTGTAGTCAAGTGCTAGATGACCATTTAGTGGAATATAAAGCCACAATATCATTATGCTCATTAAACATCTGAGCTGGATGTTGAACTTTTTGCCATTGCTCAAATTGCATTGAATGGCCCTGTGTAGGCAGACATCCGTGTAAACTATGGATGTAGATATCCAGAATTGTAGATACTGAAATAGATGTTGAAATGCCCAACCCTATTACTGTTTTTGTTTGTATGGGTAATACCTGCTTAGACAGTCTATAAAATAGCATATACAAGGAAACACAGAAAACTAAATAGGTGAAGGAGTAAAGCATACAAGCCAAGTGCAGAGGTAGTAGTTTGATATTTTAATGATATTTGAGAATAATTCTCAAGTATCTTGCAGTATCACTGTAATCAAACACTTGTAACAAGTTTGCTTGGCATACTTAAGTGTAGTAACATATGTGACTGTCAACCAGTTTGTTGTCAGTTCTTTTGGTAACAAAGTACAAAACTGCAGCGTTTAAGTGAATGTCTAAATGGATACATTTTTCCGTGGGAATCTTTTTTTTTTTTTTTTTCCCCTGTGAGAATCTACCTTGGTTCTTCCCAGCAGCAGTATTTTGGATATGTGCATTGCTACCTGTGACTACCCTGTTGTAGCTTGAATGAAAATATTTGAGGACTAAAATAATTGTTATTGAGAACAAAAGCGAGTGCATTTTGGAAACGGAATGCTGTTTGGCAGAATTGTTGGGCCTGTTTCTGATTTTTTTTGGCAGGACAACTTAATGCTCCTTTCCAAAACAGAAGCCCTGACTCCCTCTGTAGGCACAGTAAGGAAGAGCAGACTAAGCTTATCTGTAGACTTCACATATAGCAAGCATAATGTATGTTATCTCTTAAATGAATGAAAGCTGCACAGACTCAGTTGACACTGACAACCCTTTGGGTGGCAGTACAAAACGAGTTTGTTTTTCCCTATGTTGTACATTGAAGGATGCAGCAGGCTGGCTGTGGTCAAGTGCACTGGTGGCCAGGCTGGAGGAGCACTGGCTGGGGGACACAGCCCTGGGCTGAGGCCTGAGGAGATCACCCTGGCAGAAGGAGGCCCAGCCCAGGCCCAGAAGTTAATTTCTCTGCTGTGTGTGATGTTGTGGGTGTGCAGCCTCCCCCTATCCTCATGCCACTTCCATTTCTGTATACGTTTTTTCCACGTCCTTGTCACTGTTGAGGCTGGGTGGGCGCTGCAGTGAAATGAGCAGTGCAGAGTCAGGCTGATGTGGCAGTGCAAACTTCGTTATTGCTTCAGGTGTCTCCTAGGGAGGGACTGCTGGAAGTGTGGAGGCCAGAAAAGGAGCTGCAGGATTTTTCACCTCCTTGCTCATGACACTTGCAATCAAAATTTTGATTTTTATGAGTGCCTTAGTTCCATTAAAACAAAAACAAAGAGTCACTGAGAAAAAGCCCCAACCACCACACAGTCTATTTGTCATTAGCCACACGGGCTGCAATTAACGAGAGCGCTTCTAATCGCTTTGTTTAGCGCCACGAGATGAGTCGTGACTGGGCGCCCTGTCACGGGCAGGCGCCTCCACACGCGTGCCCCCGGCGTGCCGGCGGTTATAAGCGCTAAGATGGCGGCGCGGGCGGCGTGACGTGGTGGGAGGGGCCGCCCATTTTGTGTGTGGCGGCAGCATGGAGGCGGCGGCGCTACTGGAGCGGTTCTGCAGCCCGGGGAAGGGCAGCGGGCTGCGCGCCCAGCGGCGGCTACGGCCCGGCGAGCTGCTGTACCGGGCCGAGCCCTTCGCATACGTGGTCAGCAAGGAGCTGCTGGGCGGCGTGTGCGAGCGCTGCCTGCAAAGGTAGGGAGGAGCGGGGGGAAGGCGGCTGCCGCCATCGCCGCCCGCCCAGCGCCGCCCCTTCCGCCGCTGTGGAGGGCGGGCGGGTCGGGGAGGGCTGGGGGCAGCGCTGGGGCTGTGCGGGGAGATGGGGAATGGCCCTGCCCGAAGCAATGTGTGGGGTGTGGGGGGATCCATGCTGCACGTGTGTCCGCGGGTCTTTGCCAGGGGCACCTGGCGAGCCCAAGTCCCGCTGGTGGGAGGAAAGCAGCGGTGTGGCTGTGTGTGGGTACCGGAACGTGCGCTGGCAGGCAGTCAAAACTCGTCTGGGGTCACTGGGATGTTGAGAAGAAATTCAGTATTGCCAGTTTTTGCCCTGCCTCATAACTACCTGACGCGTGTTTTTTAATTCCGGGGCTTTGCTTCCTGTCCTCGCAGAGCCTCCCAGCTGCAGCTCAAAGAAGTGATGCTGTGATCCCCATGTCCCTGGGGAGAAGCTTGGTGCTGTGTGTCAGGTTGCACCTGCATCCAACCTCAGGGTATTAAAAAAATAAAAAAATGGCATAAGATTTCTAGGTGATGTTTCTGGGAAGCCTGGCTCGTGATTTCAGGGTGCCTCAAGAGGGTGGCTGCCTGCACCTTGAGGCAATGAGGGGCAGCTGGCCTCGGGGGCAGGCTGGCACCAGCGGCTGCAGCGAAAATCCATCTCAGGTGTTATGCATTTGGATGTTTATTGTTAACAGTGGTATTAGTAGAAAGTGCAAGTTAAATAAAGTTTAATTTACCACGGTTCAGATTCCACTGCAAAGCGTGCACTGGTTGTGAAGATTTAGTAGATCCAAACTATGCGAACAGATTTTCTTATTTATCGAATTAAAACCAGTTTCTACTTATTCAAGAGACTTCATTAAACTAATGATGTGTATATTCACACACAGTTCTTTTTACACACGTGGAAGTTAAATAAAACAGTCTGCACCTGCTGAAGTGGGATGTGAAATTGAACTGCGTCATGGCTCTGGCTTAAATGCAGGATGCAGAGTGATCCTTATTGAAAGCCAGGTAGGAGAAAAGCAGTTACTGCTCGTTTCCAGAGCTACAGCTAGGATGCCTTGGGTGCAACTTCTCCTGCTTTTCATTCTGGTCTTTAGGGGGCAGTACAGGAACACAAATCCCCCCCAAAAAAGTCTTGCTTGAAATTGACTTAGCATTTATCCTTCTTACGGTATAGGAGTGGATGTTTGAGGCTCTGTGCAATTCTGTGCTGACTTTGCCTCCCAGCTTGTGCTAGCAAGCGCTGTTGGTCGCAGCTCCTGGCTGTGTGGGAGGTGCTGGCTGGGCCAGAAGATGGGTGGCAAGGTGCAAATGTGTTTCTGGGGTGAATGCTGGGAGGCAGCAGGCTTGTGGTAGGGCTAGGGGTGTTTGCTGTGTGTCTGCCTTGCTATGAGGCCTTGAGCCCTTTGGGGCAGGGGTGATGGCTGCTGGGGCAATCTGCTGCCTTCCTTCAGAGAGGACAGCCTGGCTGCTGCCATAGCTCCACCTGGTCCTGTCTAAATTAAAGTGAGTAGCAGTGAGAATTTAAAACAATGAAGTGATTTCATTTATTTACTTCCTACACCTGCTAGTGGAAATTGTAACATCCCCTCCTCACTTTATTGGCATGTTGGCAGTATTTGTATGGTGTGGTGAAATTTTTTTGGTCAGTGTTATTAGGTCTTTCTCATGTGCAGAGCAGGTGGCAGATAATAGTAATTTTTCCACTTTTGCGATTTCTTCTCACTCCAGAGACAGTCCTGTGTTTTCTGATGCCTATGTTCATACTAGTTTTTATAGGAGGCCGATCCGAAATGTTCTACTATGGCTGATTTAATATGATAGTGTAGTTCATTCAAATAGTATCACATTAGCAACTAAAAAATATAACGTCCTGAAGTTGGGTACGTAGTATAGATCTGATTAAAAATGTAAATTTTGATGAAGAAGTACTTGTCAGTGTGCATTTCTAATGGAAGACATGCTCTGAGAGCACACGTGGCAGTGTTGCGTGGCCGTACCTTTTTTGCCAAGGAGCATCTATCTGTAGGAATAGAGGTGATGCCTTGCTGACAGCATGCTGTTTGTGCCTTTATCCAAGTCTGACAAAATTTGGTTGGCATCTTCTTCCAACAACTGGCTGGGGAAAGCATCAGAAAAAAATCCTTCGCTTCTGTTAATTAACAACTTTCTGTATGGCTTCTTCCCATGCGCCTCTACGGTGGGTTCAGTGTCAGAACAACTCGGTACAGATTTCTACAGCAGGGGATTGAGTTCTGTAAAGACAGCTTAATTTCATCTGCAAACTAGGAGCCGTCATTGTGTTTTCTGTTCTGCTGGGTGTTGATAAAGATGTTGAGTGAAGCTGGTTGCCAGCAATCCCCAGAGATCTCCATCACCTTTCTCTGTTCCGGAAAGTGACTGTTAAGACCCCTTTTCCTTCTGTGTTCTTTATGTGGCTATCAGTCTATAAAAGGACCTTATTTCCAGTCCCTGACAACTTAGCTCTTTTTTAGCCTTTGCACGATTATGTACTTGTCTGTGCATTGGTGCTCTCATTGAGCAAGCTACGAAAGGAAGCTTCCCTTTCATGGGAGCTGTGCTTTCTCTTTCCTGGCAGATCTTATTGATCTGAGTGATTAATAATCTCATTCTTCATTATATAACTTTTAAAGTTTAATGGTGAAGACTAATTTGGCCTTTTTTCTTCTATTAGTTATTTTTAATATTCTGTTTTGCTTAACCTTATGGTTTTAGAATGTGCTTTTATGTAATTGATCTGACTAGTGGTTCCTTTACAGTCTGAATATTGCCCATTACTTCTTGGTTTAGCAAAATAAGTCTGTACTGACTTTTAACCTAGGAAAACTTAACTGCCAGGTTTGCTTGCGCACATTGATTTATCATCCCTGAGTTCAATCATGCTGTCCATTTTATTTGGTGCTGTTGCTTAGTTTGCTCAGCTTGTTAAATCTGAACATGGATTTTAAAGATGTTCCTTGTCTGCGAAGTGAATACAGAAGCGGTGTCTCGGTGCTTAGCAGAGTTTTATTCCTTTGTGTAATCAATGTCATACTGGCCATTAATCCCTGCTGATTGACTTTCCCTCAAATTACGTGGTAGGGATGGCACTGCTTGGTCTGACCCTCATACCTTGCATTAAGAATGTACCCGACTTGTTATAGAATGGGAGTCAAAATGAGGATAAAACCCAGTTATTCCTTTTTGGTTTGATTGCTTTTTATAAAACATCAGCATGTTGCATTGTGGCATGTAATGTCTTGCTTTTACAACAATTCAGTGCAAGAAAGCTTAGGTTCTGGATGACACCTGGGAACAAACAAACAAGCTTGCCGGAGTCTATCTCAGAGGAAGCTGCAAAATAGAGAACAAAAGCCTACTCGCAAATGCTATTCTGTTTATGCCTTTACAGGAAAGTGACACTGAAGAAAAGTGAATATTTGAGTATGTTTGATGTATGACACAGACCATGAAATAAACCAAAGCGTTTCTTGTACGGTTAGGGTCAGAGGCTGTTCAGACTTTCCTTTTTCTTTTTTAAAAGAAAAAAGGTGGCTTTGTATGACTGCAGCTTTTGTAAATAGATCTGGAGAGGAAAAAAAAAAAAAGTCTAGTTCAGGACTGTTGGTAAACATGATTTGGTGCTGTGAGGTTGTTGGCAATAAATTTTTTGAGATTTAAGAAGTCTGATGTGTTTCGTCATTTGATTGTTAGTGTTTGAGATTTCCAGTAGTTCTCACAACACGTGACTTTGTAGGATGTAGAGGAGTTATAACAATGTGTATCAGATTAGGGGTAGTCACTGTGGTCTTTCCAGACTGGAAACAGAAATAGGGTGGCTGTTAGAAGGAGATTCATTTTTGTGCTTCCAAAGTAGGATAATCCTGGGAATTATATGCTCAAACTCAATTGAGCATTTCTGACTAATCGCTTAGGAGTGGAATTGCAGGGATGTTGTCCCCTGCTCTGTCTGCTCTCATGTGGAACAAGGGCCAAGGATGTGAAACAATTGTATGTGACGTGAGCTATGTGATGTATCAGAACTTCAGGTTCACTGCAGATGTGTGAGGAAGCTTCACAAAGCTTGAAAAATCACACCACTGCCACCAGCGTTTCTATTTGTAGCTGAATGACCAATGTCCCTAGAAGTAGCGTTTTCCTGAGAAGATGCTCTCCCTTCCCCTCGTCATTTTACTGCAATAGTAAAGTGACCTTACTGTCAGTGAGACCTGATTTTTTCCTGTCTTCATACCAACTGGAACCATAGGAGGGGGGCTTCCGTGATGCTGTCGTGTGCTGCCAAGGAAATCTGCAAGGAAGGGTGAAGAGAGCGGACCATCAAGTGTCCTTCTCTGCAGCACCTGCTTCAGAGAATGCTTTAAACTGCCTTTTCTATGTGAATAAAGCCAGCATCTGATGGAATATTTGCAGTCTCCACCAAGGTGGGGAAGATGGAAGACCTGGTATTCGTGGCAGTGTTTGTGGTAATTCTCTTGACCTATCCTGTGACTTTGCCTCCCTTGCAGCGCCCTTTGGGGTGGCCAGGGAGTTTGCTGTGTTCCTGCTAGGCATATCCTGTGGTCTGTGTTTTCCTTGTCTAACAGGTTGCTTGGTTTGTTTTTTCCTCTTTGAGGTGTGCTTTGGGAAGGTGATTCAGGTCCTGTTTGCTGTAAGCCCTCTCCTTTCCTTTTGTCAGTATTTTGGTTCTTGCTGTGCTCCTCTGTACTGCTTCGGATGCTCTGGGCATGCTTTAGGCAAGGTGGGTCCCTCCCCGTGTCCTTCCCTTTGTCCCCTGCCTTGCAGCCTTGAGGCTGCTGTTAATGCCTCCTGCTGCCAGCCTGCCTTTGCCCGCCTTCATAATGTAAGAGGAGAAACTGGAAAGGCAGAGACATTACCGAAATAAATTCTCCTAGGTCAAGTGTTCATTGCAGTGTCTGTCACTTATGGAAAACCAACATTCAGGTTCAGAC